CAAGTAGTTTGCTTAGTTTTAGGCTTTTGTGTAGCAATGTAATTTGCAGCAGTAAACACATGTTATTGATTGCTTCTAATGTATTTTGATGCGTTTTAAGTACATTAATATGGTTGTGTTATGCGGATGATTAACATTGTAGCACTCCTCAAATTTAAATAAATTTCACGACTCGCTAAATATAGAATTTAATTTTTCCCCTTAAATTATACTTCTATTACGGATTTAAACCCTTGTGAGTAATTCTGAGTTACATCTTTATTTATAAATAAGTGGCTATACAATTAGGGAATATTAATAATTTTAATATTATTAATTATTAAAAGTAGGTATTATTGATTATTAGTTAAGTAAAATAATAATAATAATAAAAATGGACAAAATAATCAAAGCCCTTTAAGCCCAAATCTGTTGAAAAGTGTAAGCAGGCTTAAAGCCTTAAAACTTCAACGAAAAGAAACCCCAAGCAGACTTCTTCTCAAAATAAATAAAATAAAAAACGAAACTCCAAGCAGATTTCTGCGTGTAAGAAACAGAGGCACGTCCCAGCGAAAATACTCAAGCAACCAACGGAAAATTCTAGGGTTCTTACCAATCACTAATTCTTAAATTCAGGTATGTAAATTTTCCTATTGCCAATTATCCTACAGTGGTAATAGGTAAGAATTGAATAGCTAATCCCCTTCTTCCTCTATATCAACAGTAAATTACATGTTTAGGAGTCAAACTTTAAAATTTATTTAAAATGCACCGGTTGTTGTAGAATCAATTGTTTGACGGGTATAAATTGGACCGGAGTCTACGTATTGGTTCGAGAAGTTTTGAGGTGAGTTGATATAACCCTTTACTAAAGTGGTTTAACTCACAAAGCACGCATACAAGGTGTTTGATGAATTGCTTAAAAGAGTTTATATTTATTTAATCAGAGCGAGTGAGTATCCATTAACTTAGAATTGTTCTAGAAAAAGTTTAGATGAGCTATTATGATATATGTTCTTATATTTTCAGATTTTTGTGTTATCCTTATATGCTATTTTCATGTTGAAAATTTATGAAGAAGAATGAATCTTTAGAAATATTTTTATATGTTTATTTCATTCTTATTTTCAGATTTTTGTGTTATCCTTATATGCTATTTTCATGTTGAAAATTTATGAATAAGAAAGAATCTTTAGAAATATTTTTATCTGTTTATTTCGTTCTTATGCCATGCTTTACATTTAAGGACACCAACATGAGCATGTACATGATGTTCCAAAAAAAAAAAGATTTAGACTTGAACAAGAAGAAGTTTTAGAAAGAAAAGATTTCTTTTGGGAGTATCCTTTATTCTGAGAAGGGGTCATCGTCCAGGCTGAGGGTCCTGACCAAGATGTTGACTTCCTGAAACTACTTGTGCCAAGTAGGGAGCACACGAGCCGAGGGTCTCGTTGCTGAGAACATGCTAAGGTATGAGACATGAGTGTTGAAAACCATGAAGCGAGTGGCACCTCGTGGATTAGGCCTATTCGATCAGGTTGGGATCGAACCCGTGCCGATCACACGGTGACTGAGACGGAATTAAGTCAGGATAGTTGGAACTCCAAAAGTATAAAGTGAAGTATCTTTTTTTTATAAGAAAGAAAAAGAAAAGAATTTTTTTAGTATATTCATAAACTGCTATTATGCAATTATTTAGAATTATTCTTATAAGCTTTATGTTTTACATGCATTTAAAACCTTTGCTCATAATGTATATGTTATTAAAGTTTTGCCCCCTGTTGTTGAGACTCACTGAGTAAAATGGATGGTACTGACGTTCTCTTTTGGGAACCTACGTTGGTCTGCGGTACAATGTAGGAACCGGATTTGCAGGCGAACATGCTACGAGTTAGGACTTCCTTCTCTTCCAGTGCTATTGGTGAGCTCCGCTTTTGTTCGTGGAGTATTCCTTAGAGTCATCTTTATTTAGTTATTTCTTTGTTACTTAGAGAACTGGCCAGGAAATCTCATGTCCTGAGCAGTGCGTCAGTTTATCAGTAGAGGCTTCATAGACACAGTCGTTGGGTTAAGATTCGGATGTTTTTGATAATAACTTAGCAGTATTTCATTGGTTACTATGAATAAAGTTTTGGAGTTGATTTATTTAAATGTTTAAATTAAACAAAAGTATTTGGTTAGAGTATTGCCTTGTTGCATATAAAGTTTGGAGTTATAATAGATTTGATAAGCAGAGATGGTTCGCTCGGTCATGTTTACTGATCGAGTGTCGGTCCCGGCTTGTTCAGAAAATGGGTCGTGACAAACATCATTTTGATGCTCAATTTAGATCTACTATAATCTAGTTTGAATTTGTACCAAATTGTGATCAGCTTCTCTTAAATGTTGTATTTCTTTATAGACAGAAATCACACGACAACTATAAAAAATAAGGCAGCAGTTGAACTAACAAGGCATCAAATTTCTTACATACAAATTCAAACTCGGCCCTTAAACTAATTAAAACAAAATTACATAACCTTGTACTAGGTCAGCCATTGTACTAATTGAAGCAAGTCTGCAGCTTCCTTCTAAATAAAATTACACCAGACAATACAATCACCCCTACTAATATAAACCAGCAAAATGAACAACCAACTACTGCCACTAATTTGAACAAACACAACAAGCACCGCGCCATAGCCATATCCATAAAATCAGCACCAACAAAGTTGTAAGAAGTATGATGGTCCATTTTTTTCTTTCCCGATCCCTCTCCAAAAACTTGACTTTTTTCAACAAACCAAAAATCACCCTATTTTCTTGAGAAGAGAAGTCTTCATCATACCGTCTAAAGTAATTGCATCCACCTTTTTTCTACAAATACAACCAATGAACGAATATGAGAATTTAAGAAGAATCACCAAAATGTAGATTAAAACAAAATTACTATGAATTAAGCTTACCTTTCAAATTTTGCAACTATAAAACCTTTGACCTGGGTTACAATCAGTCAATGATATCTTCAAGTTTGCTAATTGACCGCAATTATAGTACACAATATCAGTGGGAGGTGCCTTCGACGAACTCGACATTAAAACTGCTTTGACGAAGAAAAGAGGCAAGAATTGGAAAGAAATTCAGAAGAATTACAAAGAAACGAAGAAGAATGGAAAGAAACGAACAAGAATTGGAAAGAAACGAACAAGAATTGGAAAGAAACGAAGAATTCTCTCGGCGTAATTTGGAAGCAATTGGGGCAGAACTAAACAAAAGGGGAATGAAATTAGGGTTTATATAAAATCGGGTGGGTCTAAACAGGTTAAATAGGTATATATTTAATTTATTTTAAAAATATTATCGTTAGAGTCCACGTGTAATAATATTCAGCGCTCAAATGTTGTGCGCCCCACGTTATGTGCCAAGTCAGCTAGTTATGCCTAATAGGTATGGTTATCAACATAGTATTGTGTTCAATTGGAACAAAGCTAAGTTCAAGTGTCTAAATGGAATTTTCTGGCAACTTTAAGGGTTTGCATATGCATTTGGCCAATTTAAAAATAGAGCAAACTTCATTTATGACCGTTCGGCACTAAATTAAGACAATCGCTAGCCTATTAAATTTGATTGCAAGTTATAGCCAAAAACTTATTGCATTGGCTACACACAAAAATGCACTGACTCATTTGATCAACTCTTCAAGTTACAAAGTAGAGTTTTTAATCTATTCTGAGTTGTGAACATCGATAGGTAACCTGAGTCTTGTGAGTTGTGATTAGAGTAACATGATTATACTCTTTGTTTTTCGAAACTATCTAAAATACTTGAGGAGCTTTATTTTCCTACAAATTAATATTTTTGAATTTTCAAAATATTAAACTATTTGCAATTCAAAAAAAAAATTGAGATATTTTCTGAATCAAAGTAACTTTTTATTACTTTAAATAATTCATTTGCTTTCATTAATATCATAGTAATTCAAATAATTAATTTAAACTTTGACACATTCAAAATACCAATAATACGGACCAAAGGGGGTAACAACATACGTCATAATTCATCGGAGAGAATTTCGTTTAATATCTTTCATATAAAAAAATGGCTTTATATTCAATATCAACCAAATTATGTTTTTTTTTCAAAAGGTTGTAGAATTGTTTCAAGACACTTCTTCAATTTATTGAAATTTTTTTGGGAATACTTATTTTCATCTCATTCTAAGACAAAGCACCACCTTTACCTCTCTATAATTGCAACTTGAATAGAGTAACATGAGTCTTGTGAGTTGTGATTCAATAAAATTACTTTAATCTTTTTGTGAGGTGGACTATTGTTTTTGTTCATTACCATTCTTTAATTTTTGTTTTACTAGAAATGTCAGTAGTTTCTTAATTATAAATTTTTATACAAAATAGTCTATACATGTTGAATAGATAAGGTTCAAGTAAAAGAATTATATATATATATATATATATATATATATATATATATATATATATATNATATATCATACAACAATCTATACACGTTGGATAGATAAAAATGCTCGGGATACAAAATAGGCTGACACTATACAATTTATATACAGTAGACTGTCACTATACAAAATATATTCAAAATAGACTATCACTATACAAAATATATGTAAAATAGACTGTTGCTATACAAAGAATATACAAAATAGACTGTCACTATACAAAAGATATACTACAAAATAGACATTTCGGGCTATGAAATGTAATATGTTTGGGCCAAAGGGACATTTTATGTCAATGGGAAAAAATATGGGCTATTAAAATTTTGAGAGACTATAGAAAGGTCATTTTCTCTTAAAAATATGGGTTTACTTTTTAAACAAAATAAATATTTGCTTATTGTTACGAGGGTTAGTTTTTTTTCATTTCGTTATTTTAATTCATTTTACTATCTCTCATTCTTATTCCATATTCTATCCTTACTGCATAACTTATGCAACCTTCCTCAATACAGAAGCAAAAACAGTGTCAAGCTCTCAAAAAAAAAAAAAAAAAAAAAAAAAAAAAAAAGTGTCAAGCTCTCTATGAGTACCTTTAATAAATTACATATAATACAGTTATGCCATACAATAAAGAGGTGACAGACAATACAAATTGTAGTTAAAAAAATGAAATGCCATAAAATAGAGAACTTTAAACTTTTAAACTAAATGAGAAACAAAGAAAATTTATAAACACATAGCTAAGGCCAATTTCTTCAGCTCATATTTGCTCTCCCAGTTCTACTTGTCAGCCACGGTCGTTTGTCTGACGTGGTGACTGACGACTTCTTGGAGATTGTCGGTGGCGATGAGATGAAGAATGCTCGGGTTTGCTTCTGGATTCTTTTGGTTTCTCTTTGATGGCCTCAATCTGTTCCAACACGTCCATTACTTCTTTCATCGAAGGCCTATTCTTGGGGTCGCCTTCTAGGCATTTTAGAGTAATCTGAGCAGCAAGCATTGCTCCCTTTGAAGAATATTGGCCTTCCAACCGAGCGTCCATAATGGACTTCAGCTTCCTTTTGTTAGACAGCATCGGTTTCACCCAGTCCACCAACTTCTGCTGTCCACTTGGTCGTTTGGTGTCAAGTGCTCGTAAGCCCGTCAACATCTCAAGCAAGACGACTCCAAATCCGTAGACATCGCTTTTTACATACAGATGTCCTGTTAACCCGACAAGAATCCTAATTAATGTATAATACTGCAAATAAATTTTGTGCTACTAGCTTTTTATTCACGGGGTGAATTGCTACAAGAGCTTGTGACTTTAGTTCCCAACTCTCTTATACATCTATACTTGCAAGTGGATGCCATAGCAGATTGGCCATATTCAAAAAAACACGTTAATAAAAGTGCAGTATGCATAATTGAATCTGACCTAAAGATCTTGGAACATGTTCGACGGGTTTATTCACGAATCACTTATGAAGAAGGTGACAATAGCAAAATAAAGGCAAGAAATTACAGTTAGTATGCTAATATAACCACAAAAAAGGGGTTGTTTAGGTGATAGTAATAGTTCGAGCAGTAAGCAGTCTGAAAGCAAACGAGCTAACTAATAGCGAGTATATAGAGATAATGGGTTATTAGCGGGAATTCTAAAGATTCCCCCAGTGAAAAGTAGAGATGTCCTACGTTACCCACAATCTGTTGTCTGTCGATATATATAATCAGTTACTAGAATATATATAATGGGTCAAAATCTTTGTCAGATAGATAGAGCTACTTTGATTTAAAATGGCACTAAGAATCTAAGTATCTAACAAACAATTGAACTTCATTAACCAACTAATCCATAAAGCACTACGGTCATCGACCCACTTAAATCCCAAAGCAATGGTTGCTTGTTCAGTCAAGGTCAGAGCTAGTCTTGCAACTTAGTGCTAGTCTAGACTCTATACCCCATGTAGTAGTAAAGGAAATTCGCGATCATTTAACTGTTGTGCTTCAATACATTGCAGTATAGTCTCTGAACCGTGTAGATTGGGCTCAAAAAGCACTCACCTGTTTCAACATATTCTGGAGCAGCATAACCATATGTCCCCATAACACGAGTAGTCACATGTGAGTTTCCGCCCGAAGGCCCCAGTTTAGCTAAGCCAAAATCTGATATTTTTGCATTGTAATTCTACAAATAAAAATGTGCAAAGTAAAAAGTTTCAACAAATAGCCAAATACAGATGTACAATAAAGTCGGAGAAGAAAAAGATGAAGAAAAACTTTTCGCAAGTAAGCTGACTTTACCCCATCAAGCAGTATGTTGGAGGCCTTGAAGTCTCTGTAAATGACTTTCTTTTCCGACGTATGTAAAAAAGCTAAGCCCCGCGCTGCTCCTATGACAATTTTGAGTCGCAAGTCCCAAGAAAGTGGTTCAATAGCGGCACTCCCTACACAAACAAACACGTGGTAGGTGAGTGCATCGTATCATTAAGTAGCTTTGGTTTGAGTGAATTTCTAACACTAACTTCTTACTTCTGAATAGATGGTTTTCCAAGCTTCCCTTTTGCATAAATTCATAAACAAGTAACAGTTCCTTGTCTTCATGACAATATCCAAGTAGTTTAACGAGGTTAGGATGTGAAAGCCTTCCTAGAAAGTTCACTTCTGACTGCATTTTTAATTGACGCAGATAATGAGCATCATCTAAATAAAATCATAAATCAAAATAACTGGCGACAGAAGGGTTACTTGCTAATGAAAAAAAAAAAAGATGGAAAGTTTCTGATGAATATAGCTACGAGAAATGTGATGGTTAAAACATGTTCTGACACCTCCGTTGGCTATAGACAATATGGTCAGAACCAAATGCGTATTAATTTATTAAAAGATGTCATAAGAAGTAAAATAGACAGGTAAGCCACATTTCACTATTTTGACACATAAAATGTAATTGTTGTGGCAAATGAAGATTGAAAAAGTGTAGTAATATTGAATTAAAGATCACGGACTCTGCTTACGGCATCTCAAAATAAGTGCCAGCAAATATACCGATAAAACTTTCATATCCAACACCAACACACTTCATTGCAGCACAGTTGTGTAGTATTGGAGTAAGAATCATATTCTCAAACATTAACCTTTTCAGCTAGGCAATTCAATTCTACTTTCTTTTCTTTTGTTTGTTCACTTTTCCAACTCTGCATCTTCGAAGAACCAAACCAAAACAATTTTGTTAAAACCTTATCTTTCTTCTAGGGATTTCTAAATGAAGTAACAAGGAGAGCAGCCCGTAAAATCCTTCATATTTTATGAGCAATCAGTACACAATGTGAACTAGCAAACTCAACATTCAACTTTCTACTTGACAACATGCAAATTAGACAATTGGAATCCGATTAATATCTGAATTGATTAGACAGACAATTACTCAAGTCTATTACTGGATGTTCCAAAACAGAAGAAGTTGTTCCATGGATATTTAATCGAAATTGCATACCCAAAATTCAGCATATTCAACAACTAAATCCTTGTTATTGACTAAATGACGATCCACAAACTGGCTACATTATCTTTTATTTTTGCAGCAATGGCCTCAACTTGTATCTATGTCACTCTACAAAACCGTTCGCCCATTGGTGAATTTAAAGTTCTTTCAATATAAAGGGAAAAGGTCAAACCGTTGGCTTCTTTATCCAAAAAAGAGTCTAAATTTGCTTTATCATTGTATCAAAACATCTCAATTGTATACCTGCCACTCTTCGAATCCTTGAGTACTCTCAGAGTTCAACTTCTTGATGGCAACAATCATTCCAATTCCAGCTTTAGTCGGAGCAAGGGTCTTCTCATCAACCCATCCTTTATACACTGTCCCAAAACCGCCGACCCCCAAGACTGAATCAGACTTGAAATTCTTTGTGGCTAACTTCAAATCAGAAAAACTAAAAATCTTCAAATTTGGAGTTGGCAATATCTCTCCATTCAAACATGTATCATCACTTGCAGCTGCTGAGAAACGACTATTTCCTATACTGCTACTCGTGGCCGAATAGCCAACACCACTGCTGTAGTTCTTTGATGTGTCTGCACAAAAACAACCATGTAAATAGGTTATTCTAATCTTCTCACTCTCAGCTAAATGTAAAAGCTACAATTTTGAAATATTATCCTTAATTCAGAACAGTTAAAAAGAGAACTCCACTAGGATTTATAGGAAAGAAGAACAGAAAACCCAATAATTACAAGAATCAAGACATTCAACAAATCATTTACAAGAAATTCAAGAATGTTGAAAAACAATAGTAACTTGTTGAGAGAAAGAAACAAGAAGAAAGGGAAATTCCAGAGTAACCAGAATAGAAACTAAGCAAAGAACAACAGATGCATTTGTGTGCAACCATTTTGAGTATCTTTTTTCAAAAGCTAAAAAGAACTTAGAATAACATCCTTAATTTACATAGCAAGTTAAAAAGCAACCATTTCAAATGCCAAAAATCAAGATAGCTAAGAGAACCCAACTTGGAATTTACAGGAAAAACAAAAATAAAAAGCACAATAATTACAAGAATAAGACCTTCAACCAAATCATTCACCAGAAATTCAAGAATGCTGAAAAGTTAGTACTTCCATCTAACCAATTTTACACGACACTCTTTTCTTTTTAGTCTGTTCTAAAAAAAAAAAAAGAGAACGACACCTTTCTATTTGCAATTTTAACTTTAAATTCCTCATTTTACCTTAATAACATACTCTAATAACTGTATAAATATCATGACACGTTTTAGATCATAGGTTCCAAGGGTATTTAATACTTTCTTAAACTCCGTACATAATCAAACACCGCCATATAAAATGAAACGAAAGGCAGGGCGGAGGGGGAGTGTTACCTACGGGTTCGGACTAACTCAATTGCTTTTTACTTAAACGTTGTACTTGTATTAAAAAAAACCTGCTATATAAATATGTATAAATAATGAGCTATGGGTTCGATTGCAAATTCAGAAACCATAAACTTTAAATCTTGGTTCCGCCTCCGACGAAAGGGACTCATAAACAAGAAGAAAAGGAAATTCCAAAGTACCCAGAATAGAAATTAAGTAGTTATAAAACAACAGATGCATAATTAGAGGATAAAAAGCAGAAAGTACCAGGAGTAGAGGGTCTAGCTGAGAAGCTGGGGTGAGTACTACTAGGGTTAGAGTTAGATAACTTAGCTCCAAAACAATTCCCCATCAAATTCTATTCTTTCTCCTTATTTTTCCCCTCACTTCAATACTTCCATAATTCAATTGGAAATGTTTATTAAATTCCAAAGAAACAAGAAAGAGGATGGAAAGGAGAAACTAATGGTCTTAATTTTCAAAGATATTATCAATGAAAAGGAAAAAGGTGACTTTGTTTCTTGGTGGACTTTTCCAAGAATTGCTTTAAAGTTTTTTTTTTTTTTTAAAACATAAAATGAAAGTGTTTGGAAATGGTAATGTTGTTTATTTGTAACAAGACAAGATTGAGGATGTGGTGTAGCGGATGGGGCTGCTCTTTCCTTCATCAGAGGTGTCGAATTCGAGCCTGAGTAAGGAAAAATCTTTGGTAGGGAGCACTTTCCCCCAAATGGGGCCTACGCGATGCGAATCCCGATATAATCGGGCTCCAATGCGGGTATGAAACACCGAATGGGAAACAAAAAAACAAGACAAGATTGTTTTGTACGTTGGCTCCTCCATTTATACGCGCCAAAATTTATCTATATTTTAACTGTAACTTCTGTGCTTTTTCTTGTTTTTGCTTTCAGCAAACTACTGTTCCTATTGCTGTTTGTCCTTTTTTTGTTTCCAAACCCGATGTCTAGTAGGAGAATATATGTTAGGGCCCTGATTAATTCGGATTTTTATCGTGCAAGACCCATTAAAAGAGAAAACGCTCCCCATTAACATAAATTTCATACCCAAACTCGAACCTGAAAGCCCTAATTAAGGGTGAAAGTATCTTATAATATATCCTACCATTGACAGATGTGGACTCCGGATTTAAAGGTGGCGGGGCACATGAGTAGACTGCCCAACCAATGGCTCATCAGACTTTTGATCTTAAGGGTTTCAGATATATAAACGTTTTCTAACATATATGTACATATATAACTTGAATTTTTTGTTGACGTTAACGTGACTCATCTTCTCTATACATAGGTCCGCCTCTGCGGCCCGCAATCCTTGTGGTTCCCTTGCTTTCGTCAAGCTACTGTTCCTATTGCTTCTTATTGCAGTTTGTCAATAGCGCGTTTTATACATTTTGAATTCAGCATATACTATAGTATGCATAAAATAAAAGGATTACGATAAGCTTAAATTATTTAAATTTGAATTTATATAGTTATTAATGAGTGAATATATATATATATATATATATATATATATATATATATATATATATATATATATATATATATCATGAATTTACTTTTATTCTGATGAGGAGTTCTATCCCTCCTAAGTGACTCAATTTTAAAGGAGTTTAGTGAAGATTCGAGTTGATTTTGGTTGAAATTTCAGATTGAAATTCAAAGAGAATAATAATAATAAGTTGTATGTATTTTGTATGTCGAGTTTACAAATGACATAAAAATATATACGAGTAATATAATTTTATGCAAGTTGTATGTAAATTGTATGTGTTTTAATACAAAAAACTATATACAAATTGTATTTAAGTTATATGTAAAGATTCAAAAAGTAACACGCATTCAAGGGTGTGGCCTAGCGAGCAACGAAGCAGGTGGAGAACCATGAAATCTCAAGTTCAGATTCCAACGGAAAAAAATATTAAGTGATTTCTTCCGCATGTTCGACTTGATGCGAATATGAAAAATAGAAAAAATTATAGTAAAAGTGACATGATAACATAAAAATTAAAACATTAATGGACATTAGTTAAACTCAATTTTTAAAGGATTCTTTCAGTTTAGTTGAACGATACGTGGCCAAATGTTTGGCCTATAAATTTATATATTTCCTTCTTTGTTTCGTTTTTTATTATTAAATAAATGCCTATCCTTATCACTGGTTCGTGGTTATTCAAAGTACAAATCATTACTGTTCCAATAGTACTGTCTTTTCCTATAAGTGCAAAATGATTTGCAACTAAATCCAATTTGGGATAAATTAAGGTTTACTCTCTTGTATACTTATACGGATTCAAAATTTTAAGTGTATGGATTCTGAATTTTAGTAGGAGTTTGGACATAAAAATTGTAATTTTGGGGAAAAAAGTATTTGGAGTTAAGTTGGGAAATGGTATTTGGAATTTGAAATTATGTTTGGACATGCTTTCAATTGAAAAAATATTACAGTTTGTGAGTAGAAAAAAGAGCTATTTTAAAAAATTTGAACAAGTGGTCAAAACTGTTATGAAATACATATTTATATGGATGTCCACTAATCAAATATAACTCTCACTACTCTTCTCCATTATGTAGATAACCCCCACTACTTCTTACCATTATGGATGTAACTCCCACACCTCCGTGATCTTCCCCCATGTTCTCAATAGTTAATACCATGTTTATGGAGTCCCTTTGTATTACCTATATCATCCTATAAATAGAGGGTTTGGGCATCACATTGTATACACTTGAATACATAGAAAAAATAAGATTCTCTCCTCTCTTCCTTTCTACATTGTTGTCTATTTTAGTGTTCTATATTATTACTTTGAGCTAAGTTTCATAACACGTTATCAGCACGAAGCTTTAATCAACCTAGAAGATATGAATAGTCGACAACTTTGAACCAATTTGGTTGAACCAATGGAAATATGGGCATTATTACGTATGCCATATTAATGTTTAGTTTGCCTCTATTGTCCAGGGAGTATTATTTTTCAAATTATATCATAAATTGTGTATTTAGCTTATGTTAAAATTTAAGATTTGTAGTTGCTTTGTTTAGAAAAAACTAAGCTTTGATTTTAAGTTTTCATGCTCGTATGGCTGTATATGTCCACTAACTTTATTCCTAGTTCTAAAATTGATCTTATACAATTACAACATCATCCTATCATTGATTTTCCATGATACTAAAGATATTTGTGAAACATTAAAAAGCATTCTGATCATGTTATGTATTAACGAGGACTTTTAAGATCGATGGCCTAATCTAATTAGATGCAACATTTTTATGCTGATAATTGACAAAATGATATCATTATGTTTTACTAGCCTATTTTGACATCATCTGTATTAAAACAGAATATGCTAGCAATAGTTATTACTTAAGATTATTTATTTTTTTTTAAGTTAAGTATATTTAGTTATGTGTTTCAATTCTTGTGTGCATTTTATTTAATCATCATGCATTAGTTTGCAGTAATACATCACATAGTAATAACTGGTGACTCTCTTATTGACATGTTTATATGTAGGATACTAAAATACGAGTTTGTACTCTATCATATTTTTATTGATAATAGTTCTTATCATTTCTATTTGCTTATTTTTATGATAGATTTTACTATGTGGCTACATAAAATTATATTCCATTCCCTGATGTGACTCAGACCATTTGTGATAAACATTATATAAGGATAAGACGGTGGGTTCAAGTCCCAACGCACCATGAGGGTAAGACATCGGGTTTTGAGTCCTGATGATCCATGATTGTAAAAGTTGGGTTCGAGTCCCAACTCATTATGGCCTAACATGTCTTTATATGGGTCAGGCATTGGGTTTGAGTTCCAATGCACCATATGGATGACATAGTAATGACTAAAGAAAAATAATATATTTTTCATGGAAAAGCATGAATCTTGTCCCACTTGATTTGCACCATTCTTGAAGTGAATGTGGTAGCAATGCATAATAAGTAAATGAAGACAAGTGGTTGACCAATGAACATGGGCGTGCCATTGATCAAATAATAATAGTCATCATTATGGTAATTGTAAAAAATGAGAACAATAAGGGTTCTCGAAGTAATCCTTCAATAGGTGAAGGAAATATTTACCATCAAATTGGTATGAAAAATTTATAAAGCACGTCGCGACAATTATACTCCATTCTCTGAAGAGAATGTGACTTGTGCATTGAGAATGCAGATTCATTCCTGAAGCTGAATGTAACAATATGTGATAAAAGTAATGAATAAAGACGTGCAATGCATGAATGGATACACAACACAACTCACCTCTAAGGGAGGTTTGAGAGAAAGAGAGATAATGAATATTACTGTGTGATTACATGAATATGTCATTGGTCGCGTACATGTGGTACGCCAAAAATAATTTGACATGCCTTATAAAAAGTTATTAAAGGCAACAGTAAAGCAAGAAATAATTTTTCTTATGATGATTTTGACCATGACAATTATTATGATATGATTTTCTTCGTGAAGGAGACATTCACCATATGGATGGTGTGACAAAAGATCTTGTAGTACAAAATCAATTAAGAGCTCCGAAAGAGCTAATTTGTTACTACCCAGATGAATAAAATTGTTCATGACATTGATATTGCAGTAAGTCTCAAAAGAAACTTTTTGAGTTTCAAATGTATTAGCCAAAGTGGTTGGCATATTGAGACTATAAATGAAAGGAAGATTGATTATCTTCATATTACTATAACATACCGGGTAAATATGAAAGGTTACCCGACTTTTCTTCTATTTGTACTACAGATGTATAAGCATGATGATAGAATCACATGCCATAAGTAAACTAGAGGTTTATTGAAACAAATATTAGTTGGCATGACCGGTTGACCATCCCGGTTCAATTATGATGTGAAAATTGATTGAGAATTCACATTGGCATATATTAAAGAAATAGAAGATTCTTTAAGAATTCTCTTGTGATATTTTTTTTTTCCTCATGATATACCAGTTAAGGTTGGGATTGAATCCCTTGATATCTGGAACGAATAAAAGGTGATATATATGTATGGGCCCAATCACCTGCCATGTGGACCGTTTACTATTATATGATTTTAATAGATGCATCTATTGTATGGTCACATGTGCGTTTGTTATCAACTTGCACCTTGGTTTTTTCAAGGTTGTTTGCTCAAATTATTAGAGCACAGTTCCAGAATATATATTATGATAATTTATCTTGATAATGCCGGTTTAAATCCAAGTTAGTTTAGCAGAAATTGTATGCCTCCAATTATAGCTAAGCCATTGGTTATGAGAACAAAATTCGCAAATAGAAATTTGGTATGAGGTATATTATTTAATATACAACAGCACTTGTACGCATCTAGCCAACAAGTTATGATAAATTCTTCCCATCAAAATTGCTTCACGGTCAGGAACCAAATATTCCCATCTAGAAATATGGATGTGCTATATGATTTAATTGTGCTGCCACAATGCACGAAGATGGGTCCCCAAAGAAGGTTGGAAAATGTGTTGGTGATCCCGA